TTTGCTTCCTATTTCACATTATCTATTATACCTTTTAGTCCTTATTTACACTTTCAGTTTCTCACACTAGAGAAACTATTCGGTATTTACACGTGTGTTCTATTTATTTCACTTAAGAATATTGCCTCAATGTGCATCCATTTACCTATAAATGTCTTTAGTTTCTCATTCTTTATGACTGAGTAATATGCCATTTTATTTTTTTTTTAAACCACATTTTCTTTATCCAGTCTCCAGTTGATGGGCAATTGAGCTGCTTCCAAGTTTTAGCTATCACAAATTGTGCTGCCATGAACATGGGTGCACATATATCACAGTGGTATGATTCCTTTAATTCTGTGGGGAAGATACCCAGCAGGGGAGTAGCTGGGTCAAGTGGGACTTCCAGTCCTAGTTCTTTGAGGTATCTCCATACTGATTTCCACAGTGGCTGCACCAGTCTGCACCCCCACCAGCAGTGGAGTAGAGTTCCTTTTTCCCCACAGCCCCACCAGCATTTGTTATTGGTTGATTTCATGATAGCAGCCATTCTTACTGGGGGAAGGTGGAATCTCAGTGTTGTTTTCATTTGCATCTCTCCAATGACCAGTGATGTTGAACATTTTTTCATGTGTTTATTTGCCATTTCTACTTCTTTGTCTGAGAAATGTCTATTCATTTCAGATGCCCATTTTTGGACTGGGTCTTTAAATTTGGGTGATCTGATTTTTTTAAAGTTCTTTATAGATTCTAAATAGTAGACCTTTGTCTGAGGGACAGCTGGTGAAAATTTTTTCCCACATTGTGGGTTTCTCTTCACATTGTTGGTGGTTTCTCTTGCTGTGCAGAAGCTTTTTAGTAAGAAGAGATCCAACCTGTTGATTATTTGTGGTAGTTCGCAGGCACCTGAAGATTTGATCATAAAATCATTTCCTACACCAATGTCTTCAAGAGTTCTACCTAACCTCTGTTCCAGCAGGTTCGGAGTTTCTGTTTTAATATTTAGATCTTTAATCCATTTTGATTTTAGTTTAGTGCATGGTGAGAGATATAGGTCTACGTTTAATCTTTGGCAAGTTGAAACCCAATTTTTGCAGCACCATTTATTAAAGAGGCTATCTTTCCTCCAGTGAGGATATTTGGCTCCTTTGTTGAAGATGAGGTGGCTGAGTGTGTCTGGAGTTGTTTCTGCATCTTTTAATCTGTTCCACTGGTCCTCAGGTCTGTTTCTTTGCCAGTACCATGCTGTTTTTATCACAGTGACTTTGTAGTACAGTTTCAAGTTGGGGATTGTGATACCCGCTACCTTGTCTTTATTGCCTAGAATTGCTTTTGCTATTCTAGGTCTCTTCTTGTTCCAAATGAATTTTTGGATTGTTTTCTCCAGGTCTGTGAAGTATGCTGCTGGGATTTCAATTGGGATTGCATTAAATCTACATAGCAGTTTTGGAAGTATGGCCATTTGCACTATGTTGATCCTTCCTTCCCAGGAGCAAGGGATGTCTTTCCATTTTCTGATACTGTCTTCAATCGCTTTTTTCAGACTGCTATAGTTTTCAGAGTAGAGGTCTGTGATTTATTTTGTTAGGTTGATTCCTAGGTATTTCGATTTTTTGGATGCTATTGTGAAAGGAATTGATTGCCCCATTTCTCTCTCAGTGAGTCTGTTTTTTGTGTACAGAAAAGCTATTAATTTTTGTGTGTTGACCTTGTACCCAGTTACTTTACTGAATTTGGTTATTACATCTAGAAGACTTTTGGTGGAGTTCTTAGGGTCTTCTGTATAGAGTATCATGTCATCTGCAAATAATGACAGTTTCACTTCTTCGTTTCCTATCTTTATTTCTTTTATTTCTTTCTCTTGTCTAATTGCTGTGGCTAATGTTTCCAAAACTATATTGAACAGGAGTGGTGATAGTGGACATCCTT